AAAGCCCAACCCCAACTGTGGGGCTCCTGTCTCCCAGCACAACCTCTTCATGGAGAAAAAGAGATCAGAGCTGCCAGGGGTGGTAGGGAGTTCTCAGAGCCAGGTCTCCCCTCAGCCTCCTTTGCCCCAGGCTCAGCACCCCCAGCTCCCTCAGCTGCTCCTCCCCACACTTGGGCTCTAGATCCCTCAGATGATGGTGGTTTCCCCTCCTGCAAACCTGGTGGCAGTGAGACTGGGGAGCAAAGCTTAAGAACAACCCAGCAAGAACTTCTCCAGGCTGTTTCAGGAGGTGAAGCCAAAGCTGTTGCCCTGCTGCTGTTCCAGATGGTTTCTCCAACCACACCTTGGTGCTCCCAACTGCAGGGTGGACTCCTCCTGGGAGGGATGGAAGGTTTTCCTTTGAGGGAAATGGAAACACAAAGATCCCAGGTGCTTAACTGGTAACAGGCCTTTACTTAAAGGTTTCCCCCGAAACGCAGTACAAATGTAAAAATAAACCTGTGACATCACAGAGCACACTCAGCTCAATTAAAATTTGTTACATGCAGGACACAACCAGGGCATTAATTCTGAGCCACGTGCCTTTTTTAACTAGTGCAAACATACAGCTGATGTTCAGGGAGTGCCCCTGCTGGGTCCTGCAGAGACTGGCCGGGTGGGTGTTGAGACATGGACGAGAGAAACAGATCTCTGGGGAGAAGGGGCTGCAGGGAAGGGTGCTGGGGAGATCCAACAGGACATCTCTCCTTCCACAGCAGGATGTCTTTGCAGAGGTACAACGTGTTCCTGTCTTCTTCAAGTATCTTCTCGGACCTTCTCAGGGTTTGGATTGCTCTAGGTGGGGTTGTCTTCTACAAGTCAGAGGCTGAGCATCTTCTCCCAGGACCTGCTCAGCCTGGTAGGCGTGGGGTGTCCCCACAGATGTGTGGGCATCACGTGCACGTTACCAGGTGGATCACACAAAGGAACAGGGCTGCAGCCACCACTGCTGCCTGGACTCCTCACAATAAGGTGCAGAGAGCAAGAGGATGGGGCCTGTGACCCAGCCCGGGGTGTGCAACCTCACCCCTTGCCAAAGGAGCAGGGAAAAGCCAGGCACTGTGGACAGGTAGGCAAAGAAGGGTTTCCAGAGCAGAAAAGCTGCTGCCTGGAGGGCAGCTGTGCTTCCAGAGCTGTTCCAAAGGTGCAGTTCATCACCCTGTAGCATCTGTGGGTCTCAAGCTGGCTCCTGGCAGCATCTCCTGCTCGAGGATCCTGATGAAGTCTCGGTGCTCAAGAGCACACAGAGGACTCGAGCAGCTCCCTGCTCAGCTTATGTCCAAGACAGAAGGGAGACCAGAGCCTTGGCTCTTTCTTCCACCACTTCATCACAGCATCTCTGCCACCATGGTCAGTCTCCAGTGAGAGCATTGCTTCCTGGGCTGGAGGATGAAGCCTGGAGCAGGCAAGAGCAAGCCATGGGTTTGGAGATGCTCAGTTCCACCTTCCCTGCAAGGACAGCTCAGCTCCTCAGGAGCAGACACACTCTGCTGGAGGCAGGATGGAGCAGACCCTGGCAAGCTGCATGATGGTTTTCACCACGGTCATGCACCATAATAAACACCAGCAGAAAGTTCAGAGCTGTCTTTGAGGAAAACCTCACCCTTCAGAAGAAACAAGCTCTCTGGAGAGGCTGCTCCAAAGGATCTTTGTAACTCATGTAGTGACTTTTAGGTTGAATTGGCTCCATAATACATCTCAGAGGAGGGATGCTGAGATTTTTTGGAGAGAGAGCTGAAGAGAAGGCTGATGTGCTGTGTGTCAGCAAACAAGAGTCAGGGAGAGCAGCTGAAAGAGGCACTTAAACTGGAAAGACCTTCAGGAGTAAAGCCAGGTGAGCACCTCTGGCTGCTGACACAGTTTATGTGCACGTGTGGTTTCAGACTGCACTGGACAGCCGTGGGCCTCGTGCTTCCCATGCTGCATTAAACACCCACCACAGAATGAAATCTGCTGGTTCTGGGCCTAACTGGTGCCCAAACATCTGGCTGAAAAGCAGAGGGATGTACAAAATGAAACCTGGCCCACAGGCACACTTGTGCCAGTGAGATTTCAGCAGGTTGCTGAGGAACAGCAGCCAGTGTCACTGAGGAGGGGGAAAAGAACCAGTGAAGCAGATAAACCTCTTCATCTGGGCACTGAAATACAACTGTGCTCAGCACTCCTACCAGAGCCACACCCAGGACCTCTTCTCTCCTATTGCACTTCATAGTAAAACCACTGTGAGAGAGAACTGTCATCTGCTGCAAGACACCAAGGACAGGCTCAGAGCACTGAGCTTGCACATGTCTCAGGTAGGTTCTTGGAAGACTCAGCTCCTCCAAAACACAAGTTTTGGAACTGGGGCTCCACAAGAACTGCCACCTCTGTACAAGAGGAACAGAGCAGCACTACCTGCCCACTGCCTCATCTGCACCAGGAGCTGAGGAGTGCAGCCAAGTGCTTTGAGCTAGTTCTTCAACCCCTACCTCAAGCCTGCACTTCCAAAAACATGTCAGAAGAGCAGTTATTGGTACATTGCTAGACTTAAACTTTATTATTTAGACTTAGACTTAAGTTAAAGCAATAAAACATTCTTCTCCTGCACTAAAACTGCCCCCTCCCCACGGCACAGCCCCACCCTGGGCAGTTACAGGTACACACACTGTGCTTGCACTGCAATAGCTTATTCTTTTTTTTTAGGAAGGAAAAGCAACTGTAACATTGTGGTGTTCTACATCCACAATTTCAGTCAGAAAGAATGGAGAACTTGACAAAGCCATGTTGTAAACACTGTGGTGATACTGAAAGAGAAGTCACAGACAGAAAGATCTTCCCACTGGATGTTAACCTGCAAATTTGCTTTTTATCCCAAACTGCCACACTTAATTTTCCTTTAATAACAGAAGTTGTGGGTTGTGGTAGGGATGTTCAACCCCTTTACTGGAACTTAAACTCTCTTGGCTTTTAATTTTTAGCCAACACAAATCTCATGCTTTTCAGTGGGGACAGATCTGAGCAACTTGTTAAAACTGTTTTTAGCAGAAACATTTAGTTCTTAGAAGCAATTGGGGCCAGGGGGGATTCACAGTATTCAGAGGTGCCACCAAGTGCCACGAGGCACCACGCTGCCCCCCAGACCTTTTAAAAGGCATGAAACTACCTGAAAAGGGAAGAAACTACTTGGCAGGAGCTCCCTTTGGTGATTCCAGGCAGTAAGCTGCTGATTTGAGCATGATTAAAGTGCAACACCAGCAATTTAACAGCCCTTTAGCCAAGGGAGCAATAAGTCAGCTTCTCCATGGACTTACAGCTAGTGCACCAAACATCAGACTCTTATCCTCCAAGATTTAAATTACAACTGTAAATAACAGCCAACAAACAATAGTCTAAATTACAGCCAACACAGAAACAATCACAACACCAGGTAAAATAGAAATGGATCTGTCTTTTGGCAGTGATAGGCAGCGACTGCATTTAGCACCTACTCTTTGCAGAGAAACAACAGCCCTGACCTTGCAGTTTGCTGGGACCTTCCCCTGCCTGCCTGAGCTGCTAGGGCCAGAGCAGCCCATGGAGTGTGGAAAACAAGCCCAGAGAAGCAGCAAGGTGTGAGCACTACCTTCTCTTTTTTTCATCTTCAGGTGTACTCCCTAGGTTAGAGAGGGGAAACAGGGTTTATTCTACACTGTACTGAGGTCAAATACCTGTGCACAGGAGAGGTGGAGGCTCTGTGGCCACTGCTGTGTGATGCAGGTCTTCCCAAGCCCTGGGGAACAGGAGAGCTGAGGAAGGTCTGAGCACACTCTAGGATATGATCTCAGAACAGGGTTAGAAGTTTTTAACTGCAAGCTCTAGCTGAGTTTTGACAGCCAGCAGAACCACCATGCACAGAGCTCAGAAGACAATGTGTCTGCAAACACATTTGAAGTGTTAAATCACAGGGAGGGGAAAAAAAAATCATCAGTGGAGAAAATGAAGAAAAACTAACACCCACAGCAGCCCTTAGAGCAACCAGCTGCAACTGGTGCTTTACAGGAGTTGCTGTTTCCCCTCCACATCGTGCTCTGAGGTGAGCATCTTCTCTCCAGGCTGGCCTGATGAGACAGGAGGCAGGGAGAGGCTGCAAGCACAGAGCTGTGAGAACATCCCAAGACATGCCCAGAGCTGTTACAATTTAATCCAGCTGTTAGACCAGATTCTGAGCTAACGCTGGGCAGGCTTCAGCAAAGCTATGCAAGATGACAAAGAAATGGGGGAAAAAAAAATCAATAGAAAGTAAAAGGAATAACAAAGCAAAGTATAACACCCTGTTCTTTTGCCATCCGATATGTGACCTGAGATAGCTATGGATTAAAAGTTTGGGAGGACTTAATTCAAGTCTGAAAGCAAGAGGACCTTCACCTTATCTAACAAACCTACATTAGACAAAGAAACTAAATCAGAAACCAGATTATTTATCTCTCACTGCCCTCAGGAGAACTGATCCTTGGAGAAATGGCTTATCTACATTGGGAACACCTTGGTCTACCCTTCCTCCCCACCTCTGCATCTATCCATCTCTCTGTCTCAGATGCAGACTCCCCTTAGGAGGCATTGCACAGGGTTTGACTTGCTGGAGAACACTCCAGCAGCCAAACTTACAGCTCTTTCCAAAACTTGTTTTCTTCAAGGATCAGTTGTCAGAACAGAGAATCCTACTGACACTGCTGGACTGAAATGAGAAGATTTAGACAATTTCAAAGCTGAGGTGTTGATACCAACGTGCTGGCCACTCTCTGCTCCCTATGGGCTTTAATTTAAATGGACATTAGAAAGCAGATGCTGCTTTATTTCACGCAGAGGATTCCTCAGTGTTCTTGATCAGATTTGAACCTTAATTCTCTTTGGTATTCACTGGCCGACTCTGAAGTTAGGGTTCATGTGAGTGCAAGAAAATCTGTGTGCTGACTTTTGGTGTAGAAGGCCTGAACAGGCCCCAACTACCCCATAAAGATCCTGATCACCATCTTGATCTCTTTCCTGCACACTGGGCAAGGTGATCTCTTTTTCTTCAGCATCTTTGCACACTTGAAACAGGCCACAAGGTGAGCGGTCTTTCCATGGACAATGTTCCCATCCCGTGGTCTGTGATGGCATAAGAAGCAAGGGTTCAATATTTTTTTTATATTCTCTAAAGACTCTATTTCTTCCTCCTTTTTATGCTCAGTGACATGCAGCAGGGACTCCTTGCTTTCACATCCTCTTGCCAAATCCAAAGACTCGATAGAGCCGCAGGCATCCGCGCGTGATTTGTTCTCTACCAAGTACAGGTCTTTGGGTTGGCCAACTGGAGCAGAAACAGTCCTTCTGCAGTCTGGGACATCTATCCCTTCATCCTCACTTTTGTTTTGCATAGCATCAATGTTGGACAGAGAAAGAGAATGGGCCAGTTTGGGACAGTCTGAGTACCAGTCCTTCCGCAGGGCCCAGCAGCGGTAGCAGTACCGTTTGCCTGGGGAGTTAAATTTCTTGCACTTGGTGCATTGCCAGCAGTCCTGAGCGAGGCAGACAAAAACAGCAGTGAGTTAGTGTATTCTTCCTTACAACTCCCTTCCTCTACACAGGAAAAGCAGCAAAAGAGCTTCATCAAAACCAGACGTTCACTACTGAGTACGAGCCTGCAAGCGCCTCGTTGCTCGTTTGATTATCAGACAGCCCAGACAGCATCTGACCACCCCTGAGCCTTCTACAGATGCTGATCTCTTAAGCATTAACATTTGTCCTTCCTGCCTCCTGGCCTTCAGCATTCTGGAAGAATACAATGTTCTCAAGCTCTGCAGTGTATTGCATTTTCAGTATCTCGCTCTAAATTCAAGGGTAGAGCTCCTGGAGTCAGGCAGGAATATGCTTCCCTGACTCACTCATCACTTAGCATCTGTTTTATCTCCACAACTAAGAGCAGCTTATTTAATTACCCCACCTAGCAAGGGCAAGGGCTGCCCGAGTTCAGAGCCATGATTCAGCTGTCCAGGGCCAGGGATGTCCTCGTTTGTCAAGCAGGTACCACCTAGAAAACTATGCTAAAAATTTTTGGTATCATGATATGATTTTCCTGACTAACAACAAAACCTCAACCAGGATGGATCAAAGGAGGCAAGTTTCATGTCCTCCTGTATCCTGAGAGAATTCAGAAGAGGAATGGGAAGGGTGATAAGCCAGTAGTTACTGCTTGTTCACTCCTCCTTGTTCACTCTTTCCACCTTGGGTTTTTTCTCCATTTAAACAGTGCCTCTCCCTGTCCTTAGACAGGCACTGCAAGGGGAAGGACATGACAGCTGGTATGCTGGCTGGGCTGGGATGAGAAGAGAACCCACTTCTCAGACTGCCACAAAACCAGTGACAGCTTCAGAGCTGGCCAGGACACTCAGGACTCACTGGAAACCTGATCTTGACAAAAAATTCTACAGACAAGGGTTGTTTTTTTTTTTGTAATCACTCCAGTGATTACAAAGTGCCTATTTTAGATTTAAGAATCTCTACCAGGGACTATGTTCCAGACTTCCTTTCAGAAGACAACACAGAATTAACCTTGTTAAAACATGCCTGGATGTTGTCAATACTCACTTCATATAGCATTAGACTGACCATGCTGGAAACTGAGGGCCTAATCCTCATCCACATCCCACGTGTGTGAAGGGCCAAGTTAAATCAGGAGGAAAAAGCCAGAGGCTGCCTGTGCTGACAGTGCAACACCCTGGCACAAAAGGGAGGAACAATGTAGAAACAAGGAGCCTAATCTCCTAGTCAAAACTGCCTCCCAGCTAAAACCTGGAGAAATTCTCACACCCTGCTGCAAAAAGTGGCTGAAATCACCTAAGTTCCAGCACTGCCCTGGGGCTGGGTGGGTCAGAGCAGGGACAGGCTGCCAGTGCTCAGTGCCTACCTCAGAAGCAGTTTCTGTGTCTGTGTCATCACTTAAGCACTCAGAATCCTCAAAGTCCTGCAAGCATGCATCCTCAGTCACCTGGAAAGAGGGGGAATGTTGTTAGAGGGGCAAAATAATCTCTATTTATGATACGCCTGGCACTGTACACCAAAATTATAACAACTGTCTTGCTATGATAATTTTAATGAACAAAAGGCTATTTTATGTACTGTATTCCAGAACACTGGTAACTGTTGCTGGGCTGGTTTACAGTTGTTTTATTTGCCTGTGGTCAACTCCTACTTCTCTCTGATGCAGACTAGAATCCTATAAATACAAACACACCTGAGTGGTCCTATTCATTTCCTTGGAGGAAATAATTAGCTCAACTCTTCTAACACATATCTGATTAATGACCACCTCAGCTACCAGACCCAGGCTAGCCTAGCTTACACTGAATGCTAAGACAAGGCAAACTGAGATTTTCCTCAAGTCTTTTCATTAATTAGTCTTGTAGAAACTGGCTAGAAATCTATCAAAGTTGCTGCTAGAGTTTTAATTCATTTAAAATTATTTTGTGCCTTGAAAACACAGGTGTTTAAACCCACACCCAAGCAGACTGACTACACAAAGCTATCACCCCATCTACAGATTGGTGACAGCCTTTTCTAAAGCCAGTTTAAACTCTGGGTGGTTACAGATCTAGCTCCTGCAGTATCAGCACAGCACCACGAGATCCACCAGAGAAAGCCAAGGTGTAGACACACACTGGGGCTGTTTGAAGAGGTACCTTTTTGTCACCTTCTTTCACTTCCTCACAGTCAGCTGTTTCCACCCTGGCTGCAGCACTGCTCTGATCTGAGGGGCACTCGTTGAGGAACCACAAGTCATCAGTAGTATCTGAGACAATGGCAGTGTCTATGTCCTGTGGGGAAAGAACCAGGAGAGACTGCTCAGAGCTCAGCTCAGCAGCAGCACCAGCATCACCACAGCGAATCCTCTCCCCTTTTCCTAACAGCCTTCTCAGCCCTGGGCAGCTCCTCCAGTCACCCCTGGGAGAGAAAGGGGCAGCTCTCACAAAGACACCCCTTTTTCAAGCACCTCATTCCCCTGGCCAGCTGCCCCACAGCTGCTGGCCACCATGCTACAGCCATCTGCACCACGTAACAACCTTCAGCCCAGCAGAGGAGACACCAGCAAGGCTCTGGAGTGCAGCAGGATCTCCAAGGGCTGTTCACAGCCTTCAAGAGAGTGCCTGGTTTTATTTAAGAACACTAAAGGTAACCAACCACCTGATGTGAAAGGCTGGGACAGGAACACACAAGGGAGAGGCTGAAAATCCTGGAGTGGGAAGGGGAAAGAAAGAACAAGAACGTTTTATTTATTTGGAACCCAAAAGAGGAGAGGAAGAGATACAGTGCACCTATTTAAAATGTCTACACACCTGGTTAGTCTGAATATCTGTTGATCCATTACTTCTGGACTTGTAATTGCTTCTGAGGTTGCCTAAAAACCACCATGGAAGACCAGCTACATCCCATTCCTCAAACACTAGGTCCAGTTTAGGCTTCTTGCTTTTAGAGAGGTTTTCTATTAAGTCTTTGTCTGTAAGAGCCAAGTAGAATCTAAGTCATGCCACACCTACATCATTTAAGAGACTAGCAGAGAAAAATTTGGCCCCATCTGATTTCAGAAATCTTCCCAGCTCCTTCTCACAGCCAGGTACTCCCAAGAGCTTTGGGGTTTGTGTGAGCGTGCTGGGATGTCGGATCTGCCACACATCTGTACTCGTGGAGCTACCCCAGTGAACCTGGCAAAACAGACACTGCACAGCCATCAGAGAAGCATCCCAGTGTTCCCACTATTCCTGCAGCAGTACAGGTTCTCTTTAGCTTTACCTTATTTTTAAGACTCCACACAAAACCATGAGAACTTCTTTCAGAGCCCTAACCAAGTCAATGCTGAGCAGATTTCTTGAGCGACTTCAGATGCAGAGAGAAAGGGTTTGAATTTAGTTCAAATTTCCAGTGATGGGAGCTCCTGCATTCCCCAACCAGGCTCAAAATGAGGAGCAGGAAGACAAAAATCCATCCTCCATAGCTACATGCTTCAGCCTCCTTTTTAGCCTGTGCAGTTTAGTCTCTGATCCTAAACTCAAGTGGTCTGAATTTCAAGATAATCTTGAATCTCTTTCTTCAGTGTCAAGAGTTTCAAAGGCACAGACAAGGACTGTTTCCACCTCTTTTATAGATGCAGCCAGGAAAACATCCACCACTCTCATTTCATCTGGAAACACCCACACTTGCAAAGATTAAGCTTTACAAATTAGGCTCCTTGTTAGGAGAACAACACGAGAATAGAAAGTAGAAAAACAGGAAAATTGCTTCAGTAACATGAGGAATCTATGAGTGAACCAGCACAAAATCCCTGGACACTAAACCAAAGGAAATGTCTAAATATGAAGGAGCTGTATTACACTTAAAGCTGGACAGAAAAAAAACAAATTTCCATTGTTATTCAGTTCCCCAATTGGTTTGCAGGTAATGACTGCAGATGGCTCAGGCTGTGTTCTATGTAATCAAAGGAGAGAGTCCCTTGGGAAGATAAATAGATACAAGTATAATTCCAGCATTTAAAATACCCTGCAGCAGGGTCTGTAAAATTTTTGATGGCATTGTTCAGTGATAGATGTTCTTTTGGGGCTTAACCTGCCATTTTCTTCCAAGTGTTTGTTTATTTATGAGACCAAATAACCAAGCTAGAAAACATGTCTATCACAAACCACTTCTGGTGAACATTTGCAGTTCTCTCAATCTTTAGCATAAAATGATGATTTTTTAAGATCATATCCCACAACAGGTTTTTATTAGTCTCCCAACACCCTCCTCCAGCGTTTTGCTGATGCAGAGCTCAACGTGTCACACTGGAGAAGGTGCAGAGGAGCTTGTACACGTTGTGTTACTGCAGAAGAGCTGGCACTCACCTTCATAATTCTCACATTTTTGCTCTGAGGTAGCCAAAGCAGAAGCCTTGCTTTCTCCCTCCATGCCACCAGCACCAGAACCTTCCTGACGGCTAAACTGCAGGAAGGAAAAACCACATCTTAGTCCATCAGAGCTTACAGGGACAAGGGGATGTAGCACTTCCATTCTGAGTCACCAGCTGCAGTAGAAGATCAAGAAGTTATGAAGAGAAATAAAAGTTTCTGACCAAAAACTACACACTATTAACCCCTGAAGAAGGCGAATGCATCTGGAATTGGCACAAACGACATACTTGCAACCTAGGAAAAATCTTAAGATTGGCAGCAGCCCAAAAGTTACCATCTTTAATGCAGTGCTACTGTGATCTTTGTGACTCTGTGGCCCCCAATGTGAACGGACACCTCCCAGATCAGACTACTGGAATCCCAAAATACACCTAGAAACAAGTTTGAGCAGACAAAGATTTTTCCTAGGTTTCAGATTCTTCCTGATAGCTTCCAGAAACAATCCTACTAAACACAAAACTTGTTCACACGTTTTAGAAAGCTGAATTATTTGGCAATTCCTACTCAGAGAAGGGATGAGAGAGAGGGGAGACAGAAGTGAAAATACAGAGCAGGCTGGAGGAACTGAGGACTAGAAGTGCTACACCCCAGAGAAACGCGCTCAGAGACTGGTACTCTGCTATGAAGAGAACAGAGAAGGGTCACTCTGTCCCTGTTCTGTGGACTCCCAAGAACTTTTCAGGAAGGTGAGGACCTGGCAGCCAAGCAGCTCAAAGTTCTGGCAGTCCACCATGCACAGGTACAGAGAAGGGGCACTCTGTACAACAAAAGAAACCACCAGGCAGTGGGTTTACCTTCAGCTGGTCTTGGCTTGGCTTATCGACGCTCTGTTCCCTTGCGTGACTCTGTGCAGCATCTAGATGGCAGGTAAAACAAAAGAAAAAACCTTCCCTGGTAATAACCATTCTCACAACACAGAGGGTCTTCAGCAAGCAACCAACGAGCCAGGCTTGGCAGACCTCTAAGAAATCCTTGAAGAGAAACAAGAGCCTTTTCTGCCCTAGAGAGCTGCCCGTGTCCTAGCCAGGCATGGCTCCAGTACTCCCTAGGCTTTGCTAGGGACATAGGGAGGCAGGAGCCTATGGAATACTGTCTGTGCCTCCTTGCAGATGAAGCTTGATGACACCTCACAGTCAGAACCTTCTTCCCAATGTGAAAAATTACTCCTTTTCCTACAGGCTGTCCTGCCATCGCCAGCTCCAGGTCCTTTACACAAGGAGGCAGAAACCCAGAGCAACAGCAGAGCGTGGGGCCTCTCACTTGAAGGCTGGATCAGATCCATGCTGAAGGTAAGCAGAGAAGAGGGAGATTTTTATCAACACCTGAGGACACCATCTCTTTCAGGTTAGGCTGAGACAGGAGAAAACACCTTTCTTAAAGGGTGTGGGCATGAAGAATGATGACTAAAGAAGGGAAAATTCCATGCACAGCAAGCTCTTCCCTGGGTAACTGCATACACATCCATAGCACAATTTAATCCAGGGGATGATGCTGGCATCAAGAATTAATTAAAAGGCCAACCTAAATAGCATGAACAATCAAAACAACAGAAATCTTTCTACATAATAGGAGAGCCACACTTAGGAAGTCAACTCTTTAAACAGGACTTGCTAGAGAACAAAAGATGGAGGGATGACTCCTGCTTGTTCCCCTCTCAATCCAGCAGGGAAATTCCCTGCTGAATGCCAGGGAGACAGGAACAGTCTGATTCACACCATAAATTGTGGCACTGGTATGAAAACACTGAAAACTGCTATTGGCAGAAAAGTGGACCACAAAGCAGACCACAAAATGACATGGTTCTATCCCATATTCTCTGCCCTCCGTGCATTATTCAGCTTTCCTTTCTTCCCTCCTAGCACCCTACTGCTTCTGCAATCAGTGGTTATTTAATACCTGAAGGAAAATAGAAGCCAAGTGGCTCACCCACAACTGCTTTGGCTCTGCAGGGGCATTAGAAGAGGTGCAGACTTACCCTTCTTACACTATAAATAATGCCAACTAGCCCTAAACACTGTGAGAAGACATTCCACTTCTCGTGAGGCTCCCACAGGACACAAAACGTCCTTAAACAGGAGGTATTCCTAAACACACCTCACCTCAAACACACTGGGTGAAAGCCAGGCAAGTAAGGACACCATCTGATAATGAGCATTATGTAAGAGTTCAGACTTTATTACCATGATTTACTGCAGTCCCTTCTCCTTCTGCAAGTGCACTTAAAAGAAGTGGCCGAGCCAATCTGCAGAACGATGTGCTGATAAGCACTGATTGGGCTAATGAACACAAGCAGCTCTGACAAAAACTGGATTGTGAAGATCTCCACAAGCCCTGGAGCACCTCTAGTTATTCCTATCTTGTGACAGAAGGAAAAACAACACTGAGAATTGTCCTTCCAAACCTGGTCTGCCAAGCTTGGTTCGTTTTCTAGCCACGCACACCCACACGCAGACACGGTGGTATAACTCAGGGAGCATCTCCCAAAAGGAACAGAATTTCCTTTGGCAGGTTTAAAAATAGTTACACCATGACTGGAGCATGCACACACACACACACAGAGCCAGCTACACACACAGCCACCTGCACACAGCGAGCAGAAGGGGACAGGGCAGCAGAGGAGAGTTTTGCTGGGCTCCTTTGCTCTCCACGTGCACTGCCTACAGGGGAGAGGTCAGGGAATCACACTCACACAAGTATTTGGTAGGTAGTGTGTGTTTAGACCAGAGTCCACTCAGGAAGAGAAAGAAAGGCAACCTCAGAGGCACCAATATGTGGCTCAAAGCAGAGGACTAAGCAGTTTAGGGCCATGTTTTCTCAGTTTCTAAATTTGCACAAGCTTTTATGCAAATACAGGCTAAGCCCTTATGAAGAACTAAGTCCTTATTCTCTGCTTAGAGAGCCCAAGAAGTATGGCACAAGGCTCCACAGCTCTCCCAGAGCAGCTTCCTCATGATCTGCACACTTGTAGTTTGATTAGGAGTAGAGTAAGGTTAATGGTTGGACTTGATAATCTTAAAGGTCTTTTCCAACCTAAACGATTCCATAATTAGGGTTTTTTTTCCAGTGAAGATTACCAGCCATACAATGGGAACTGGCTGCAAGGAAGCCTTTGGCTGAGATAAATTCAAGAATAAATTCTAATTTATGACTGAAGGACTTTTGATGTAGATAGATTTGATTTTTCTTATGAGCTGGGACAGTAACAGTGACCTTTAAAGGTTCAAGTGTTCAATTAAAGTCCAGCCCTCTTTGGCTGGGTTTCCAGCACTCTTATATTCAGTTTCCAGACTATGAAAGTATAAAACAAGGTGAGAGTGAGAAGTTGCATGCAATGAAACTGAGAAATCAGCAATGATTTGGAAGGGATGCTGCAGCCATGTTGATTTGTACATCCAGAGTATTTAGCTCTGTCTGTGTGCCTCCAGAAAGAGCATGTTTGCTGCTCCAAGGTTTGGCTGTTGCTTACAGGCAGCCACATTACTCAAACACCTACACAACCTCCTACCACAGCTACTGATGGTGGACACAGAGGAAAGTCACATTCTCAAAGAGATTGTCTTGTCAAAGCCTTCATTAGCAGTTTGTTGCAACTTCAGGAATGTTTCACTCTTCTGAATATCATTACTTACCCAGGTTACATCAACACTACATTGAATGTACTTGCCCATACTGTGACAAACCTACCTGCCATGGCAGCAGAAGTCAGGTTCCGTTTCAACATGTCATAGACTGGGCTGTGGGAAAGAAGGGGAGAGTTCAGCACCCTCACAAAACCAAGCAGCACTCCCCTTTGAAACCAGGGACAGAAATCTCTGTTATTATCCACCGGAAACTGCACTGGGGGGTTCCTGCCACTCTTAAATGCCTGCTATAGAGAAGTCTAGATGAGAACTTAAAGATGTATATTCTCACTAGAGACCAAGGGCATGAGAAGATGTAGAAATAAAAGGGGGGAAAGATGTTCCCTTGAGCAGCTCCCTGCCTGGACTGCTCAGAACTGGCTCTTCAGAACAAAGGAGCTCAACTCAAACTTGACCAAAGCATTACCAATAAGCCACTTGGTATTCAGGGAGGTTTATGTGACAGTGAACAGGAGCAGTGACACCAAGAGCCTCCTCTCTTGGCAACCTCTACACCACAACATACATTAAAGGTGACTTTTTCCTACCTTGGATCTTTTACAGAGAAGCTCTCCAGCCCCAGCAGTTCTCCCAGCTGATCTCCTCCACAATAGACCATGTGTTGCTGCCTTTTGTCATATAGCTGCCTCACCATGATGTACTGTCCTAGGTAATGCATAACCTGTGGGGACAGAACATACCATTAGCCATATCTGGAGCTGAAATGAAATCCCCAAAGACCCTGGAAATGTGCTTTAGTTTCTACCTCCTGCTACCCTGTGCAGTGGGAGTCAAACAGTACTTGCTTTTAGACCCAGCTGCAATTTTTCAGTGCTTCCCAACCAAGGCAGAGTTATTTTACATATTGCTATAAGGTGTGTAACTATTAACTCTTGGCAAGAAGGAAAACTGAGTCAAAGGTGGAAAAACACCAATCACTCTGCTACCCCACACTAAAATGAACTGTGACACGGGTGGTAATGATTTTATCTGGCCAATGTCCCTCAGTGAGAGCTGCAGTGCACAGCAAAGTGTATTAAGCACAACATAAGAAGGTTCCACCAGCTGTCACCCACCAAAGTGACCCTCCTGGATCATAACATCACCAAAAAGCTGCTCGCAGTACCCCACTCAATGCAGAAAAAAAATGACTTAACTGACTTAAAATGTTAATCTCTACATGTAACCTGCATTTAATACTCAACTCTCCCCATTTAAACCATTCAATTTGTTTTTGCAAAACTTTTCAGAAGCTAAATAAGTTATTTAAATGCATAAGTGTTTAAAATAAGTCACAGGGCTCTGCAGGAATATTTGACACGTTCATAATGAAAAACCACTGCATTTAATTTTTTGCAGACAGGATACTCTTGTAAATCACAGTCAGTGTCATTTTTTTTTTAATCTTGTACACATATTGCATTTTAATCTTAAAATAAATGAATTGGCAGGGTCTTTTGGGTTTAGCTGACAACCCATTTCAAAGGAAAGTTAAAAGAAAAATATCCCTCACATCCCAACAGCCCTATGGGTACAGCATCCTTATTTTGCTGATAGGGCTTCAAAATAGACAAAAAATGAATAGGCAGACCCCTCCCTTCCCCACAAAGAGCTAAATCCCCCAAAAAAACAGAGGAAGGCACAGTTTCAGTGCCTCAAAACGGAGCCCACCTCCTTCAGTGTGAAGGTTTCACCCTGGGCACCTGCAGCCTGCAGAATCTTCAGAAGTGGCAGTTTGGGTCGAACCTGAAACACAGAGTTTGGTTTGGATGAAACAAAGCAGTGACTTGCTGGAAGAAAGCACATCACTCTGGCATGCAGGCCTGCAAATCAGGAACAATTTCTCCCTCAGGGCTGTGCCAGGCTGCCCAGGGCAGTGGTGGAGTCCCCACCCCTGGAGGGGTTTCCAAGCCGTGGAGATGTGGTGTGAGGGACACGGGGCAGTGGGGACCTGGCAGGGTTGGGGGAACCCTTGGACTCCATGATCTGTAAAGTCCTTTCTAATCAAAACAATTCTGTGATTCTGTATCAGAGCTAACAGCTCTCAGTTGCCCAGGTCAACCTGTGTAAGACACACCAAGCAGGGAGCTGACAACCCTGCTATGAGCTGGAGGTCAAGGGAAACACCACTTGCCTCAGGCTACCCTGCAGAAGGCTGGTGTTCTTTTTTGAAAGTAATCTGCATGGACAACTGCTTAACAAGATGTTAGGAGGAATGGAAATCACTCTGACTCAGGTTCCAGACAAAAAAGAAAAAGCCAAGGAATGTGGGCAGCCAGCTCTAAAGGCTTTAATCACTCACACTGCCCCATTAACTTTGAAGTTATTCATCCTGGGAGGGAAGTTTGGAAATTCAGACCTTGGGTATGGAGTCCTGGGCAGTGACTCACCACTTAGTAGAATCCATAGGCACATAGTAATAAGACTGGGGGTTAATTAACACCCCGGATCAGAACCTGCATTTTCTGTGCACCTCAGTCACCAGAGTGAATCAAAATCCTTACTATATAAAATATAAACCACCCTGAGCACCATGCAACCACTCCACAACCTCTCTAGGTTCCACCCACACCCCCGAGTAGCAGATGAGACAGATGATGCTATATAAAACAGCAGCAAGTTTTAAATAGCTCCTTCCCCCCTACGCTGCTACTTCAGCTCCTCCAAGAGAATGCCAACCCCAAGGAGAGTGCCACCACATCACCTGATGCCTTGTGTCCCCTAAAAACATCACCCAGGGAAGAGCCACTGCTCTCTGAAGGCTGCACCATGGTGTGGTTGTACACTGGTGCACGCTGAACCCCTTCCTCTGCTCTCCTCATCTGTCAGCTGCTGACACAGCCAGCTATCCCAGTCCATCCCAGTCCATCCCAGCACAGCAAGCCCACTCCCCAGCACACAACGTGCTGTGCTGTTTCCTCTCCCTCTGACAAGGTTTATCCTCTCCCTGCTGGCAAGCAAAGGCCTTCTCCTGGCAGTGTCAGGTGGGCTCACCTGTGGCTCACACCCACCCCTCCTCTCTGCCTGTATAAGTGCAATCCCACCCTCCCCTTCCTCTCCCAAGCAGCAGAGCCCTGCAACATCTCTTCAGGAGGCTGCCTGAGTTGTGGCACCATTCTCCTGCACAAGGTAAGGAGGTGTTGGTTGCTTGTCATGGAGGTAATTTGTCACTCAGCTATCAGGCAGTATCTTAGCAAGGTGTTTGTTCCACTGGTTTCTAATATTGTAGAAAATTAAGGTCTGTGAGTGTGTCTGGTCTGTGAGTGTGCTCCTTATTGTGTTTGCTAATGACATTTTCAAGCTCCAACAGAACAGCTCATGTCCAGCCTCAAGTGTCTTTCTCAGCTTTTTCACTAGAAAAAGCTCAGCACAACTCCAAATAAGTGCTTGTATCAGCACATGATTTCAATAAGATGACATTATGTGTTTGCACTCACTCATTTCCTTAATGACCACTCTCAAATGGATTTTGAAGTAACTTCTTAACACATCTCTTTCTGATTAAAGCAGCAACCTAGTTAGCTTGATCATTTTAAAATGGGCCCTCAGCTACTACAGTGCAGTCAAAATGGAAATATTTATTCCACGCTGCCTAGGACATGGAGTGTTGACAATCAATATTTTGCTACTAATATCAGAAGCTATTTACTTCTTTTTTCTCATGCAGAGTGAATCGAATAAATAAGCACATGCATCAATTCTCTACACAAGACCTGGCTCCATTCCAAAGCTGCTAAATTAAGCCTCCAATGGGAGGCTCTCAACTTCCCACCAGCTTATTTCCAGTCCTGCCACAGCCCCTTGTATTGTGGAGATGTTTTTTATACTGAATTGGCTCTGGAAGATTGGATGCCTGGTCTTGGAGAAACTGCTTTGGTATTTTTTTAGGCCAAATTTCTCCTGTTATTGTTCAGAAATTCCTCTTCTCATGGTGTTGAGCCATATTCAAACCACACACCTGCCACCCTGGCCTTGGCTGGAGGCTCCAGTTACCTTTTGTTCCAGGGATATTTAGGGTACAGTTGATAACAGGAGTACTTAGTGTTCTATAATTACCTAAGATGACCCCAAAAAAGACATGGGGACACATTACTGCCTAGTCAAAGTTCAGCACACAAAGTTACACAGCTCCAGCACAGCTATCCCAGAGGCCAGCATCAGGAGGGATGTTGTAGGTGCAATACTCCAAATACAGGTCCAGCACAAAAATATGCATTGCATGATGTCTTGTATGGCCAGGTTTAAGTGCTTCTCCCCCTTATCTGCCCTTAAAATGTTCATAAATCATTGATCTGACAGTGAAAGCCAACACAGCTCCTCAGGATAAAAGCATTCCTCTGTTAGGCTGAATTCTTCTTAAATATCCTCAAGAGAGCTTTGACTTGATGGGAAAAATCACTGTTTCAGTGAGGAGAAAGCAGTGGAGACAAGTGGGGGAAGATAATTACCTGGCTGACTTGTCCCAGGGTGAGTCTGCAGGCACTCTCAGCTGCTGGATGCTGGGCAGAGCTCGGAGATGACATTGTGGCAGTGAGGAGCTGTTCACAGCACAGACCTGTCAATGAGAAGGTTCATGTACCAGTTGAGCTGAGAAACCTGGTCTGGAGTTAAACCACTTGTATTGCTTAGAAGCTTCAGGAATCCAGTGTTTAAAATCAGCCCTGAATAGATCTCTTAAGTGCTGTCTAGTGCTCATGTTACTGTGCCTTTCACCTCTGTCCACACTGATCTGCTCTGTCCTACCCAAGCTGACAAACTGCCAGGAGAGCAACTGGGACACATCTGCTGTGGCACTGAGGATGCTTTGACTGCCCACCTCTGAGTGGCACATGGTGTCTGGGGGAGCTGCCAGCTCAAGAGAACTTCCAGTCCTCCATCAGGCCGTTAGCAAACTCTTAACAGGGTGAAATCCTTGAGTCAGAGGCAGGGAAATAGAAGCTGAGTCACAATCCACCACAATGGAAATCTTCACAAGACAGCGACCCCCCCACACCCTCCTCCCCTGACTGCCCAAAAGGAGTAGTCAGTGCTGATGACAACAATTAGCACATTCCCCAGCTGCCTTCTCAAGAACACAAAACCTCCATCCCAAAAAGCAGCTGCCTCCACCCCAAAAGACTCAATGAATGTTTTAACAGCATTACCGGGTGAGGAGGTGAAAGGAGCCTTTCCTGGAAAGGAACAAAAGGGGAAGTCCTGCAGCTATTTGAATTTGTCAGGCCCTATCAGCTCCAGTCCCACCCAGAGAGCACAGCTTCATGTGCAGAATGATCTGTAATGACTCATGTTCACAGCACCATCTAGTTCAATCCACCCCACACAACGGGTTGGGAAACTTCTATTTAAAGGAGGATGTAAATTAAGTAGTCACTGAAAAAAAAAAAAGTTACTGGAACTTGCTGGTGAAGGAACTTAAGTCTTGACCTCTTAGACTCAGCACTAAACCTCAGAACAAGGTACCTGTAAAATGTTTTTCCCTGGACCCAGTTACAATAAAATCTCCATTTCGATGTGAATCAGGTTGCACTTCTGCAGGCAATACCAAAACGAGCCCTGAAAATGCCATTTTTTGTAAGCTTCTGAAGGCTAGAGCATGAGAGGAACTAAAAAGACCAGCTCCTGAATTTGCCTATGAAGCTGCAACTTCGGCAAAGTATTTACTGTGTGGAATCTGGAAGAAGTGTCAACTCTTGCAGCAGCCTAAATGAAACTTGAAAATGTGAAGCCAAAAGCTACCGAAGCAATATCTAAATCCTTTCACCGACTTTTCCAGATATAGGAACTGAATTTCTTATCACCACATCAGTTACAATGTGCACCAGCAGGATTAGCTGCAGGAAACGGTGAACACCAGCAAATCTGCCCGAGGATTTCACCCAAACATGTGAGCTGCAGACAAAACACCCTGAACATCCAGCTAGCAGCAGAGCAGAGACCTCAGAGATGAACAGAAACATTTGCTTGGGCACCAACTCAAACTACTGACCACCATTCAACCCCTCTCCCTTCCCTGCCCCAGGTATTAAAATGGACCTAGGGTGACTTTGTTAGAGAGAGTTCTTAAAATATTACATTTCTCTGAAGGCACTACCTGAAATAAAATCACTCCTGAAGATCAAACATATCCTTAAATATCGAGGAAAGCTTGATTAAAGCATATCTAATATTCAAGCTTGATAAATAACACTGATAGTGAACAGATCTAGGTAGTAAATCAAAAGAAGTGATTTAAAACAGCTAAAAACAACTTCCCAGTTATCAGCATCTTAAATTTTAACGTTTCTCCTGGATAATACCAAGCACACTGCACCACCAGCTGCCCACAGCATCCTTCAGCAGCTGAGCTGGACTTTATGCTGGCTGCAAACTTACCGACCTTGAACTTCTCTGCTCTAAAGAGGATCCCCAGGATGGAGCAGCCTCTTCCCAGGTCCTCCTGCAGCTCCTGTCCAGAGGAACCTGCGGGTCCTGGAGCAGGAGATGAACTCCAGCAGCCCTGGGGGTGCTCAGTGAAGCCTCCCCAGTAGCTCTGTCCCTCCTGGGTGAGTTCCTGGTCCTGCTGCTGATGTTCTGGGCTCTGAGTGGCTCTTTTAAAAACCCCTCCTGCCTCCAGCTCAGCTCCTCATGAGAGGGAGTCACCCAAGACATCAACTTCTGATAAGAGCTTCAGTTGGTGTGAAAACCAGCCCAAATGGGACAAAACAGCCCACCCTGGGTTCAGAGTCAGCTAAAGAGCCCTCAAACTGTCTCAGTACTGATTTTATTAGAGCCTTGCCTCCAGCTTTTACAGATAAATGGTATTTTTGCAGGTTTGATTTTTAGTACTGTTCACTTCCTTTCATTTTAAACTGATCTCAGCATTACCAAACGCTGTCTCCCCAAGCATGCAAGCTCTGAACTATGTCTAGGCTGCAGATTCCCCCAGGGTTTCTGGAGGCAGTCACCAGTCCCTGTCCTGCCAAGACACAACATCTCACTCAGGTTCCCACCCTCTGTACTCTACCTGGCCAGGAACACAAAGGGTGGAAATTCCTGGAGAACTGAGCCACTCCTTGCTCAGGGAGCCCCTCTTCAACGTTCCCCTGCAGCTCAATTTTCCCCACCTATTTTATGCCAAATGTTTTACCTCACAACCCCGGGAGGGTCTAAACTTGCAGGCAGCTGAATGAAGCACCAGTGAACTTAACTGCTGTTCCTCTCTGGAGCTTTGGAGCTACATCTGTCAGAAAATGCCACCGGGCCACAGCAGGGACTGGGAGGAAACCATGACTCAGTGGGGAGTCACGAACTAATGGGGTTTTTTTTCCACTTGAATGCTTTATATGGTCATGCACACCACAGGAACAAGTCTTCTGCCTCTTGTGTGAGGAGAAGCTCCTTCTCTGAAGAGATCACAACCCCCCTAGACCACAGCTTTGATGCTCTGCAGAAGGACAGGCTTGAGAGACAAGATCTCAGCAAACCCAGAGAGGGCAAGGGTAGGGGGTGTGGATTTTTTCTTGACAGCACTGTCTGGAAAGCTGAAGCTCAACTTTTAATTCAAGTTCAGCTTTTGTTTTAAAGTCTTGTTCTTTGGAAGAAAGAATACAGCTTCTCCTTTCTGTGTGGAGGGAAAACACAGCAGGGAATGTACAGCAGACACTGCTGCTGGGGGTATCTGTGGACCCCCTTCCACGGGGGGGTCACAGTCTGAGACATTTCAGTCCTATCCCCTGTCAGCATCACCCTTTTTTTGTGCTTTCACACAAAGCAAAACTTCTACCAAACCCCAAACTTGCAGTCCCCTGTACCACATCTCTAGAGTGGCTCTGGAGGGGGAGGGTTATTCATTTAATTGCTTTAAACAAGCATTAATCTGACAATCGAGTCAGAGCTAATTAGTTTTGTCCCTATCAGTGAGTTTTCACCCCTCCAAGCCCTCCTGCCCAGCTATCTCACCTGGTTAGGTGAGAAGCAGGAGCAGGAATCCCACCCCAGCTCCTTGTAAAGCCATTCCCAGCTCCCCCAGTGCTGGCACAGGGTTTCCACCGAGCTCCCCGGGTTGTACTTTCCCCTGATTGCATCTCTGTGTGCCCAACAAGTTCCTACATGTCCTTGGAGAGCTGCACCACGCCAGCATGAAGGCAGCTTCAAAGCTCTCCTTCCCCTGCCACCTCCCAACAAGTTCTGCCCTGTCACTGCTGAGACCTTTGGCTGGTTCTTGGAGGGCTCCTAGCTGAGAAGTGGCAGCAGGGGGAGAGAAAAACTGAGCTGTGAATTATGTGGTGGAACAGATGTCAGGCTTTACAGCCTGCTTGACTTGACTTTTTGCTGTCCTGCACTCAGTTAAGTGTTTTAACTCGTTGCTTTGATATTGACTTGGCATTCAATCAGGCAAAAAATACCCTGAGAAAAGCCCCACTTCACTGGGGAAGTTCTTTAATGCATTATTTATGGCAACAAAAGGCAAGGCTGCTATTTTTAACGTTTAGCTGAAGCATTGATTTTACAAGAGTTCCTTTTTTGGCAGCTGCTTTGGGGCAAAATCCAGATCTTCTAATACAAAAAGAGGTTTCATTCTGAATTTCACCTGATGTGAGTTTTGTTGCTGACAGGACACCTCTGACATGAGCTGTGTGCTGCTGCTGCTCCCCAAAGCTCAGCCAATAATGCACCAAAATCAGCCAACCTTCAACAAATATTAGGAGTTAAAATACCAGTGTTATGCAACCCTCTTTTTATTGCTAAATATGTTAATCAGGAGGGAAAACAAAACTGATAGTCTCATTTTAAAAAGGTACTGCTGGCCAATTGCTCTGCAAACCTCCCTAAATGTGCTGAGTTGGTTGTGGGGGATGCTGGAACAGGGCAGTGCTTCCACTCCAACACCCTGGTTTCCATTTATCTATATTTTATTAGGTGAAATTGGGCTTTTTTGGGGGTCTCTTTTAGCAGCCACAGATATTGCTTAAGGGGATGTCAAATCAATAGCATTATTTCAATGCATTTGAGCATGAAACATAAAAACTGGTCAGGAAAATCAGTTTCTCCACCAGGTAAGGGCCACGTCCCACCCTGAAGTGACTGTGCTGAGGCCTGCCACAGAAATCACAGCTTCAGAAGAACTCAGGAGCCAAACTGAAGCTGAGAATCACACAGATGCTTGGGATATGGCTTTTAACCCTTTTCTATCAGCACACTTCCCTCAGGAGATGAACTTTAACCCTTTCCCATCAGCCTGCTTCCTTTGGGTAATGAATTTTAACTATTTTCCAGCAGCCCATTTCCCTTGGGATGTGAATTTTAACCCGTTTCCACCAGCATGTTTCCTCTGCAGCTCCCCAGGGTCATGCAGGGCACCAACTGGCACCTGACCCACCCAGTAGGACCAGTTGGCACTGCCCTGCTTGGAGAGAAGCAGAGCCACCTACCCCAGCAACACAGTCACCTGGAGAGTGCTAAATAAACAGATGCCAGAGAAAAAAAACAATTCCAAATTCTTACACCAGCTCTGTGTTCCTATCTGTGGCCCTTTAGCTCAGTT